ATATATATATATATATATATATATATTGAAACATCCAGATGATGAAGAACCGATAACTCGGGTTACGTTGCTAATGGAAGGTAAAGCATTTTTTGTTTGACGGCCTCTTATGTTTATATCATAATTCGTTCCTTTTGTTACAAACACAAAATAAAGCCTGAAACAAACTTATATTCCAAAACAATTTTTTTCGCTTGTTCTAGTCGACTTTTGCTTATGAAAAGATTTAATGGATTTGTAATGACGAAAAAGTGCCGAGCACGTCCTGCGAAAGTTGCCTGATCCCATCGTGGCCGTGATATATCCGGCGGATGTTTCATCTGAGACACTAATTCAGACATCGTTTCTACACGCTAATCAACAGAGTTATATTAAATCTGAAGAATGCATGAAAAAGCTATGTTTTGCTCTCATCAACAGATCTATAGTATTAACTAGCAACAAACAATCATAGACGTCAATGCTTTTCCAGAGAATGGAAATAAATTAAAAACGAGGCAGTCTTATTTAAAGTTTATTAGGTGGTAATAATGATTTATTGAGACTCAGGCTCGTAATTTCCTTTGATGCGCCAACGATAAAGCAGCAACTCTAGCATGAGCAGTTCAACCAATCCGCATTAGGTTTACATACTGCAACAATAACATAGGATAAGCGTTCAAACACACGCATGCTCAAATTAATTACACAATGGTAAGAATATGGAAGTAATAGAGTCCAGAAGCTTATAGCTAATAGATTTTTCAGTTGGAGTTAACTACAGATAAGGAAGTAGAAGAACAAGCAGAACTTCATGAAAACACTTTCAACAGCCCCATCTCAAATCACGTCGACTGCTGGGGACATCTCTATCAGATCACAACAAAAGTCGTTCTCGCTACCGCAGCAGGTTAAGCACTGAGTAACAAATGCGAGATGCACACTACCAATCAATAAGACTGTGCAATACAAGTAGGTGAAGAGAACACTCCATTTGTGCATGCGTGTGTGTAAGAGTAGCACGAGAAAGAGAGGCATGTCTCTCTCTGCTGCCGCAAAATGCATCTTAGCTCACTTTCCCTGCACGTTTAATAAAAAAGCAATGGATTGAAGCAGCAACCAAGCATGGACTCAACGCTGACAACGCAGTGCAGTGCGGTGCGATCTGGGATGATCTTTGCTGCTCGTCAGTTCTCTGAAGCATGAGTATTGCTCAAGACGAACCGCGCCTATTAAGCTGTAACTGTCGAATTCCAAACTGCTTCCTCGACATGTTACACAAATGGAATCGCTATGTTGATTGATATCATTGTGTAGATTTTCCGCATCGATAACTCTTGTCAACTACAATAAGCAATTTCGATTGAAATATAGAATAAGGCCATGTTAAGCAGCCACCATTACAAATTTTCTATGCAGTGTGCAATTTGAAAATAAGGTTATCTGGTAATTTTGTATGCTTCCTGCTTAGAATACCATGAAGATAAAAAAATTGTTATAATTACACAATGCTTGCTACCACTGTGATTGAGTGCTAGAATCAAGATTCGAAACGTACAGCTAAGGTTTACGCTCACTGATAGTTTGTTGCAGTTTTACAGCAGTAATGGGAGTTGATTGTAAGGAAGGTAAAGGATTCTTCAATCACTTTCAGCTTTTTGATCAGTTTCAGTCAGTTTAGATCATTCTTCAGTTTTAGATAACTAATATACTACTGTGCTGTCAACTGTGTTAATTCACCGAGTTTGAAAATAGAGCATATAATTTCTGCTTATCACCTCTGAGCAAAGCAAATGTAATAAGTTGCACAACTATAATGTTACTATTTTACTTCGTATAAAAATAAACTTCCAATTTTCAGCAGTTACATGTACAAAAAACTTCAATGCTTTTCGGTTTAATCTTAGGTCTTGTTTTTGTGATTTATGTTTATTATTTATTTTCCTTAGAGTTCAGTGCCAGTCAAGTACTTTAGCTTTGATAAAACTGTAGGATTTAGCTTAACCTCTCATTCTAATACTGGCTTGTTATTATTACCAATTCAACATAGCCGAAGACTATGGAAATTAGCGACAAAGCTTCAATGTACCTGCAGAACCATTTTATCTGTTACGATTTAGAAATATTAAGTTTGTAAAAACCTCATTAATTGGTGAAAACTGAGTAAAATGTGGAGTCAGTCTTAATATAAATTCAAAACAACTTAAGATTGTCAATATAAATGAGTTCCAAAGGGGATTACACATCCACACGAATAATTTCGTGAATGAAACATATGTGATGCATGCGATGAAAAAAAAGAACAGGGATGTGAACACAATGAATTGAACAAATATATGAAGGAATTAAACGAAGCAAAATTGGAAGAGCTTTCGGAAAATGCAACAAAATAACTGAGCATTTGATTTTTGATGAATTCGTCATCATGAAATAATAACGCAGGTGTTGGTCAGAGATGCGAGAGTGCATTGGAAAGTCGTTAATTTAGCATGAAATTTTTAACTACAGCAAATTTGATATTCACTGATTTACTGAAATTTCAGAGTGAAAGCACTTCATATTTTTTCGATTTTTATGAAACACGTGTGAATTCATTTTTGTAGTATTTACTTTCTGTAATTTTAAATAAATAAACAGGAATTTGTGCTAGAAATGTTTACAACAGTTAATGTTCTTTAAACTGACGGTGAATATCCAAATGGAACAAGAAATATAAATCGAGTTAGAACTTCCACGCAGGTCTCTTTGACTCATCTTTAGTATTTGATGAAGCTATTATTGTTGTGCTTGTTTCTTTTTTAACACGAAATGATGATGGATGCACTGGTGAACCTCGTCGACGATCTTCACTTGATAATGGTCGATCCGATTCAGGACACAGTAAGTTTTTGCTGAAAAGAAATCAACAAATATCAGAAAATTTTTCAATTGAGTTGTAGACATAATGATAAGAAATGTAATAATTATATCACTATAGTTATCACCAACAAAATGATTATGTGCTCACCATGGTTGATTATAATTTTCACAATTGTTTACTAAATTCGATTTCTGAAAACTGATAATTTAATACCCTTTATCATCCTTTTGCTTTCCTGAATCTACTGTGGGAGACTTTGACTTCGTAGGACTTCGCTCATGAATTCGTGCTGAATAAGCAGGCGATTTCGGTCTTGGAATACCTGTCACTCCGTAACTGAAGTTGAGTGAAACATTACTGAAAGTGGACAAATGATGTCACAAGAGGTAGTCAGTAAAACTTGTGATAGAATCGGTGACTTGAAATATCAGTAAATAAAACTAACTTCGATTTATCTTTTTCACCTTCTTCTTTTTTCCTCTTCCCTTTCATTAATTCCGATGATTCCTTTACTTTTGTATCCTCTTTACACTGGTCATGCACTTCGGTAAGCAAAATTTGTAAATTACTTGTAGATGTTTGAATTTTACTATTCTCGCCTGCTGTGAAACTGTGCTAAAAAAAGAATATTTAAACAAAATAAACTTTAGGCTACAGTGAAATAAATGAATAAATCATCAAAAAGAAGAAAAAAGAAGGTAATATTGAAATTTTTGTGGAATGTCAGGTTCATCTTGCAATTATCGAAGATTTTCTCTGAAATGTAAAAGATACTTTAAGACTGACATTTATATTCACGAAAAATTGAAACTTTTGAGGTATAACGTGACTTCATAATTGAAAAAATGAAAAACTAACTGATCTATTCTGTTTGCTGTCTAACTGCGATTCTTGCACCAGTTCTAACGTTTTCCGAAGTTGTTCTATGAATGCATCTTTTTCCTAAATATTCCATGAAACTTCATTACGAAAAGACACAATAAAGAATGGGGACGAAACTGTTTGTTCTTCTTACTTTTCAATCATACAATCAAACGAAGTCATATTTATTTTGTGCCCTAAATACAAAAATTTAAATCACATTTTCCCAGTATATTAATAGCGAGAAAACTACTTTCAAAGTATTCTGCAGATGCTGTATTTGTTCAATGAATTGCAGATTTTCACCATTTGCATTTACTTGATTCTCATTGTTGATCGTTGTCTGCGCTCCATTTATGGCTCCAGTCAAGTTAATGTCAGTTCTGCTGAAACTAATAATTTTACTAAATCAAGATTGAATTTCCACAGTTTAAAAAAATTTTCGTTCAAAAATTTAAGATATAATTTTTTGTCATGCATTCTGAGCACAGTTTTCACTAAAAATGAAAATAAGTTTTACATAAACTGCGTGAGAAAAACTACGAACCTAAGTTTGAGCTGCTGTTGAAGTTTATGATATTTGTTTATCAGTTCCAGTTCATGTTTCCTCATAATTTCAGTTTTTCTTTCATGTTCCTTGTTCAAGTTTGCAATTTTCTTCTCAAGAATTTGAACTTGTTGATTCTCTCGTCTCCTAATGAAAGTGTAATTTGCTAATGGACACTGACACGATAAAATCTAGATCAGTACAGAACGAATTTATTAATCTTCTTATCCTGTTATTGACAAGTTATTAATTTACCAAATCATTTAAACCTTTACCTGAGATATTCATCTGTCTTTTTGGTGAAGTTTTTAATTTCCATACTTTTCTTTTCAAGTTCACTTTTTACAGCACTTAGTTCACTTATTAATTTCTGATTTTTGTCCATCAGCTCATTAATTTGTTTGTTTTTCAAATCACAGTCATTTTTTAATATCATAACATTTTCTTCCAACTTCATCTTCTGAAAAGTTCCACGTAATCCAGTCTACAAAATTTTAAATATGTAAAAATTTGAAATAAAATCACCATTTTAAAAATTTTTTATTTTAGGCATTCTTATCGGTAGAAAATTGCCTTGAAATTAAAAAAATTCATTAAATAAATACCTTTTGATCTATTTCGCTTTTGATTATCCCAGTCTTTGTTTCATAATTAAGTAATATCTTTGAAGTTTCCTCTTCAACTCGTTCTGCTAACCGAGTTTGAAATTCCTCTAAAATACAAGAGTTAGCTAATGGAATGGCAATCATTTCGTCCAATATTTTCGCTCTTCTTTTTTTTCATTACGTAATAATATTTCTAGTTCTTATAGTAATCTGCTGACAATAATTATATAAACAGCAGCATCTGTTGTGAAAAAATGAAAAAAGAGAAAGAAATGTAATGAACAAAAGAGCGAAACAATCCTAAGCCATTTCTTAGTCGCATAGGAATTTCACAAACACATAACAAGATTTCATCAGTAATTTCAATTTATAATGAATAAATGACACGAGTAAAGTTATTCCAAACATGCATTTTTTCATACCTTTCAGGCATCTTTCATTTTTTTCCAAAGCTTCAATTTGTTTTTGCTTTTCATAAATCTCATCAACGAGTTTCTGGATTGTGACAGAGTTCTTAAAAAGTTTCTTTTACTAGCAGTAAGAAAAGTTGCGATAATATCATTCGAAATGAAAATCTAAACAGAACTTTACTTGTAATAATAGAAACTCGTTTGGTCTTTTGCATCTTTTGGTAGTCGTTCTTGGATATATATAATAAAGTAAGTAGTAACTGAAACTTTGTAATTAGGAGAAGAAAAACTACTCTTTTTAATCAGAAATTTTGAAGGAGTTGGAAGTATATGAAGGTTAATGTAACTATATTCTGTCAATTATATGTAATTATCATACTTCTACTCTGTTCTTTCTACAATCATTTTGGTTCTGAACACTATAGTCTTTTGATGTCTCCATAGAGTTCTCACTTTCAATTCCTGCTTTTATCAGATTTTCATTCAGCACTGTTTTATTTTCCAGCTCAGCAGCCAGTGTATCAATCTGAAGTTTATTATATTATAGCGAATGAACAGTTGTATTAGAAGTGCACAGGAAAACTATAAAATTACTTCAGCATTCGATTTCTTCGTTTCTTCCAAATGGAACAGTGAATCCACCATTCGAAATCTGTATTTTATAACTGAATTTTATCATCTGATAAGGACAAAATTGCATATCATTAATGAAGAGTAGTTGATTTTAAAAATTATTAAATTGGCTTACATTTTATTATGCTGCTAATTAAATTTTCTTTAACTCACTTATTTTGTTCATTAGTTATGCGACTAGGATGGTGCTTAAATTCTTGCTCCATTTTTTTTATTTCGATTTCTTTTTCGTTCAACAGTTTCTTGCATTTCTTAACTTCATTTTTTAACTGGTCGCTTTCATCGAATAACTGCCTAATTTTTTGTACAGTTTCATCGCCACCATCCTAAAAACAGTTAATTTAAATAAGCATTTTATAAATTCTCATGCATATCAAGACTCATCTTACCGTCTAATATTTACTCAAAAATAAATGAAACAAAAACTGATTTAGCTATTAGATAAATGCTTTCGTCAGTAATAGAGAACGTAGTTGTGATCCATTCTCGTTTGTGCAAATAATTCTTGCATAAATCTTTATTTGCAAATTTAAAGAAAACCTACATATCATTAACACAATGCTAGGCATTCCTGTCTCTCTTAAATCACTCATATTTTGTAGTTAAGTTATCATTATATAATTTTCTGGATTTTAGCCATCAAATGATGAATTGCTAGGTACAAATTCTATCGTTGACAGAATTAATTTCTCTTGGTAAGAAAAGCTTTCATGTTTTGGACAGTATGAAATTTTCTTAATTAATAGAAAATCATTTATTATGACTTACAAAATGGAAAAGTGGTGCTTGCATACAAAACATGGATTCCATCATTTGTACCTTATTCAGAACGAAAATTTAGTCATGATCTTAGTAGTATAGCATGAATAGAAAAAGAAAATGGATTATATTTAAAAAAGCTCAAGCATTGCAAATATCGATTACCACAATTACATTTACCTCACTACACTCCATCAACAGCTCAAGCCTCCGTTTCAGTTCATGGACCTCTGTTGTTAGTAAACGATTTTCATGCTTAAGATTCGATACTTCCTAAAAAATATGCCAAGAAGCTGCGCTTGTTTCCATTGCGTTTCGATAATGAAAAAGTGCAAAAGAGAAGTTTTTGCAAAAATTTTGCAAGTTTTGCTACCATGCATTCAAAACTGTATTTGTATAGTAAATAGTATACCGCACTAGTGAGGTCTTATATAGCACAAACTTGCTACTCACCTGTTCCTCACTTCGTTTAACCTCATGTTCCAGATGATCTCTCAAACTGCTATATTGGGATTCTAGTTCATTTAATTTTGAACTAAACTCTTTTTTCATGGCATATTCACGTTCCTCAGCTTGCTGACGCTCCGTTTCCAAAAGGCTTTCATAACGATCTTTGGTGGATTCTTTTTCTTTGGTCACTGATTCGAGAACCTATTCATTTTATCAATTATAATATCTTTTTCTTACCATATAGTTCAAATTCATATAACTGTAAAGAAAATGCTCATAATTATGAAAGGAGTCATAACTTTTCTGATCAAACATGTTATCTGAATTGCTTCTTACACTCAGTCATCTTTCTACATACCCAACGATTTCAAGAAATCCCCATAAATATGATGACTAGAATAACTGAGATGGTTCTGCTAAGTGAAAAGCTTGAAACTGACCGCTTCTAAAGCATTCACTTGTGAATTTTGCAATTTGCTCTGACTTTCACTTTGACTTTGCAGATTTTCTCGTTCTTTCTCCAGGAAGTCAACTTTGTTTTTCAGTGCTTTCACTTCGGTTTGCAAATCGCGAATAAACGCTTCTAACTTGCTTTTTGCCGTCTCCACAATGTTTAATAAACCTGGAGCAGAAAAATAATTTGTCTTTTGATTGCTTCAATCTACGGAAAAAGCGACTGCTTCAACAAAAATTAATACTAGATTTTCGCTGCAACTTTTCCTCCTGTTGGCGATATTGATGTTTAGTTTCCTGTAATTCAATTTCTACTTTTGAAAGTTTTCGTAGCGAGTCATTTGTTTCATTTCGGGCCTCTTCAAGCTAAAATATAATAAGTACTACAGAGAAATTTTGTGACTCTTTTTAAAAAATTGCAGAAAAGATTTTATTAGCTGCTGCTTTTCCGAAATTTGCTCATAAAAAAGTTCTGAAATTCGGAGTAACGGAATTAAAAATTACAACTTTTAGCTAACTAAAAAGTTATGACTGTTCCAAAGACGTGCTAGTTGTAGTGCATTCTGTAATAGATATCGAACGAAATAAAAGAAACACACTGTTTTAAACTTGAAATCCTTGTGAAGATAAAGTTCATTAGAAATCCAAAATACCTCTTTAGAAATAGCTACAACTTCTGCTTCTTTTACTTGTAATCTTTGTTCCAATGCCGCTACTTCATTCTTGCAGTTCGCAAGTTCCTCTCGACTTTGTTTCGTCTGATGTTGTAATTCTTGAAGACGGTCGTGGAATTCATCTTGCCTATGGACTTTTTGCATTAATTAGTGTTCAGCATATCCAAATTTGATATTATTGCAAAGCTTAAACTGCTGAAGACATGCATACGAGAATTGCTAACAAAAACTGTGCTGATTCCAATTTCATCTCCAAGTATTCTGTTATTTCTAAGACATAACTGTAATTTGAATTTTCCGATTATAATGGTAGAAATAAATGATTTACCTTGCTAAAAGTTCCTCTTTGAGAGCTTCTTCGTGGTCTCGCAAAGCCTCAAGCTCTTTCGAGTACAGCATTTTAGCTGCTGTTAGTTCTGTTTCATACAAACTTTGTGCACGCCTCAGTTTTGTTTCAAACGTTTCGCCTAGTCTTTCTTTTTCAGCTTTTAAGCTTTTTCGTTCCTCCTCTAGTCGTTGAATTTCGATCATATATCTGTAATGCGCCCTCATTTTTTAGCTCCTGACTTCTCATTTACCCCTAAGCAGTTTTTCTTATTACAAATTTTCCTATTACATAAATGTATTAAATTTTGAAAAATCTATTAAGATTTATACTATTTAAATTAATATCCCAGCAAAATTTACTTTTGCTCCAAATTAAGTAATTGAGATTCAGAGAAACGTTGCTCCAGTAATTCAATTTCCTTCTGGTGCTCTTGACGTAACTTTTCAAGCGCTTGTTCTTTTTCCCGCTCAAATTTTTCCTAGATTAAATTGGTTTCAAGACCTTTCATACAATTCTTTAATATTATGAAAACTGGCAGAAACTGAAATTACACAAATCAGGCTCACTTTTGAATAAAATTTTATAATAATTCGCATACTTAAAATAATAATTTTAGATCTACAATAATTAATAGAAAATATTACTTGTAAAGCTTGAAAACTTTTCATTCTGGCTTCAAAATCCTTTTTGGCTCCAAGAACTTCTTCGCTAAGAGCTATAATTTTACTAGAATACTCAGCTTCTAGCTTCCGCTCTCGTTCTGCGACACGTTCTCGGTACTCACTATAATTTTTCATAATTCCCACTGTGAATGGCCGTTTTTTTACACTTAAGAGATTTTTGTAAACTACAGCTTTGGTTTAAATTGACCATTTCCGCTATATTATTTATTGATAAAAATATTTTACCTAAAAGTCCCCATAACATTATATTTTTGTCGTTCGTATTCAGCAACAGTATCTTCCAGTGTTTGTATTTTCTTTTTTAGTTCGCTCTCTCGCCCGCGGGGTGCAGCTGTAGTGAATTCCGAAATTCGAAATTTACACAATCATTTATAGTTTTGTTGAACGATTTTATATTATTAGCTTGTTTGAAGGTTTTAGTACACAGTAAAAGTTGTGACTTCTAGTTTTCTTCCTTTTACATAAAAACTAAGCATCGTCAAACTTTAACTTCCAACGATTTCTGTGCTTTTTATTTCCATGGAAGTAAGAAATATACTTGATGAAGCCGATTTTAAGATAGAAAGTAATTTTGTCGATTCTTCTGAATTATTTTCTTGATTAGTAATGCCATTACAGTTTTGAACATTCGGTGGTGTTGGCCAAGCAATTATGTCGGGTCTCGAATCTTTGATGACGTTAATTTGCGGAGAGCAATTATCGCAAATTTCCGCACTGCATGAAAATATTGTTTTTATTCAAAACTTAATGCGAAGAAAAACAATGTAAGAATAGTTTAAAATTTAATACCCAAGTCAGCATTTTCTCAATATACCTTTTGTTTAATAAATATAGAGTGTTTACTTACATAATTAATTCTCCTTTTACTTTTTACAGTTACATGTATATATAATTATTACGTAACTTTAATTAATTAACCACTAAAACTAAAACTTCTATAATCGTTTTAACTTATAATATTCAAATTACAGAGAATAATTGCTGATTTACTTCATTTTTCAGTAATAGCCTTTTTAAATTTTATATTATACGCTGCAAAATAATTTGCTTGGGCAAACAAGTGTTTATCCAGAAATCAGTTCCATATAATCAAAAAACAGATGTGTTGGATTTTATTGCTAGAGATTTCCTTTTGCGTAATTGCTAAAGACTTAAACCTGTTGTTATATGGGCGAGGTGACTTGCTTTTTAGGTGTTGTGATTTGAGATCACTGTTGATGATGTTGGGTGATGCAGAGCGCAAATGACTGCTTGGTGAGAGCTCCTCAAACTCATCTGACAAATAACCCAGCTAAACTCAAAATCATTATTACTGGTTTACTTTCACTATTTTATTTCATGTATGAATAAAGTAACAAAATTATCAGTAATCTTTTTTATAAAGCGAAATCATATTTAAAAACTGAATCCTATATAAAATCGATTATTTTGCATAAGTAAACAGTATTACTTGTGTAAATAATTAATAATTAGTAAATTATTTCACATTAGCAAGTGGCCCATATATACCTTAACATTTTAAACTGTGGTAAGTTTAAAACGAAAATTATTTGTTTAAAAAACAACGCTTGAAATGTAATCCTATCATTTTATTACTATCAAAGAAACAAAACAAGCATTGTTATTGAGCATTTTCTTTATAACACTCTCTATACTGTTATAAGTAAAATTTTTTCATGCGAAAACTTTTTTTGGTGACGGGTGATGAGCTATTTCTGAAAACTTGAAAGCTTTGTTGTGATAGAGCAAAAAACAGCTAACCATGTTCAAAAACGGTTAGTCATTTCTGTGGTGTTGAGGATCTTTATCACTTTCTATGCTACAATAATGACATTGGCAGCGCGACGCACAAAAGTATCAATTTTTTGCAAATCCTTGGAAATTTATGCGATTAGAATGTGATTCAAATTTTATTTATGAGATCACTTGGCTGTCATCTTTAGCTGCTCGGAGTTGATTATGTTACAGATGTTCTCTTTTCTTCTCCACTCGATTTGAAAATTTATCTGCAAAAGTTGTCTAAAACAGTTATCAGTTATTAAAATTAGGATCTGTGAATTAATCATGCGGATGTTTAGTGTGTGAAGATAAAAACTGACATAATGCATCTATTTCCACTGGCAAATTTTTGATATAATTTTGCAACATACGTTTTTAACTTTAGAAATAGTACCTATCTATAAATCGTCATCACTCTTCTAGTCTTTGACTTGTTAACAAACAACTTGTATTCTAGCATTTTATTACAAAAACTCCATAGTATGTATAATTTATATGAGAGATCACAAGAATTCAAAAATCATATTTTCATTTAGTTTAGTCTTAGATCGTATTCCCTTCAGTAATAAAATAGAATGAATACATTAACCTCAGTTTTAGCTTTTCATGTTCTACAGTTTTTCAAGAAAGAATTTTATCACATCTTTCTATTCGCTGAAATAAGAAAATCATTTTAGAATATAGAAAATAAGAGTGCCGAAAAAGTTTTGGAAACTAAAAACTAGAAAGTATCAAAGCTTTTTCATCACTCGGAACTTTTTCGAGTGAAGGACTTAAAAAGGACAAAAATATGGGACATTCATTTAACCGGCTAGACTTGATATGGAATTATTGAATAATAAGAATATGCTGATCGACTTCAAATTTTTGAAACTGACATCAGACGGAAAATTTGTATTATTTAAACTGCTTTAAGAAATAAAAGTATTTGTTATGAGCAGTGTAGATTGGCTCAAATTTTTACTGAAGAAAAATTTCTGTGTGTGCAAGCAAATTTTTCGCTGTCTGAATGATTTCCCGACTGGTAATTTTTATTCAATGCGCTTTCGACGGTATTGAATGTTCTGATGTTTCATTAATTTATCTCATTATTACATCACTGCAAAGAAGTATTTTTGCCCCATTTTATTGATTATTTTAAGTGAGTGAAAGATTGTTCCAGAACTGTATTTTTCTGTCTCAAGAAATACTCATACTTTTCTAAAAATTTTCATTTACTTTGAAAAGTGTATCAGATTATAAAGCATGCCTATCATGAAATGGATAAAATTTAAATGGTAAAGAATAAAATTAAGGCAGAAAGAGCGCACGATATTACATATAAAATGCTTGCTACAATCAATGTGCCAACTTTAGAAGTAGTTATCACCAATTTAGTTTTCACTACTGCCTCAAGAGAGGCAAGGTAAAGAAAAATAATCAGTTGACTATTCATTGTCGATCTCTACCAAATATCAAATATCAGTTTTCATCTGACAAAATTTTGGTTTACAAGTAGCTAAAGCAAAAAAAATTGTCCAAACTGCTAAAAATTAATTGTCATTATTGCTCCCGCTAATTTAAAAAATTTTTGTCCATTTCTTTAACAAAAAATATTTTTCATGCAGTGAAACCTGATGATGCAGTAATTTCAAACTTGACCGCCAACATAAAGAAAGTATTCAAAATTTTAAAACTTCTAGAAATAAAAATAAAAAGTAAGGAAAGAAAATTTTGTTAATTATGATTAGAAAGAGTTGAAGTAATCTTGTTCGTAGTCAAATGATACATTTAATGATTAGGCTGGTAAATGAGGCAAGAAGTGTAATGCTTGATATAGATAGGTGTATTTGCCTACTTTTTTTCGATAAATATAATTTCAGATATGATTTTAGCATTGCAAAGAATAACTTCAAGTTTTATTGAAAGTGATCAGAACGTTCAGTGGCAATAAGTTAAAAAACGGACAAAAAGAGAAGGTAGATTTTGAAATGAAACTGTCCGTCAGGAAAGCGTAAATGTGCAATGATGTTACTTTTAAATAATAACGAAAGATGTGTAGAAGATATTGCAGGAATATAATGCATTCCACGAGTTTAGGCGAAAAAGCTACTAAAATATCATAACTTAATATTCATTCTACTGACATCTCATTTTATTACAAGACAAAACATGTTTGGACGTTGCCGTCAACAATTTTTAAGAATGCAATGACAATAGTTTGTAACAGTATCTGATAATTATTTTCCGAAAGCATGAAAATCCAGTAGAATTATACAAGTGAAATTCAAAAACTGCACAAAGTTTAAGTAAAAATGTGATAGGAAATTTAAAAGATGATCGTTAACAATGATCGTCAAACGATTGTCTGAAGCATTTGCAGTATCTGATAAAATGATTCAGGTAAAGTTAGGAGCAACTGCATTCAGATTTAATAATAAATGATTCTGGCAAGGAATATCTAAATAATAATGCGCTGAAATCAGAATTACAAGGAGCATTTACTAACCCGAGGAAATAAATGGCAGTTTTTTTCATAGTGTGAAAATGATAGTAATTATTTAGTAACACTTGTGACGATGGAGGCAGCCTTAACAATATGTATAATAATAATAAGGATAAAGACTAACTAGTAGCAAGATGAAATGTTACTAGTAATAATTGTAAAAGATTTACTAGAGGAAGAAAAGATGAAATTGGTTAAATTGCCAAAACAACTTTATGTGCGGAGTATTGCTGCTTGCAAGAAACCCTTCTTCCCTCCGATCTATCCTACTAAATATTCGTTCTGCCATTACCTGCAAGATTAGTTTTAACTAGAAAGAAGCAGGGCAGTGAGAGAATATCACTGTATTTCATGAAACTTTTCTTATCATTTGTCTAACTTCAGTTATCAATTTGAATTAATGCAAAAAGCTAACAAAAGATGGACGGACCGACCAACTGATAGAAACTTATCATTAAGTTGTAGAAATTGATTTGCGGATGCACCTGTTCTAATCACTGCCACTGAACTTTACATCCCACCTTCTTTTACTCACTCAAATTATCAAACAACGTGAATGAACCTAATAAACCAATTCTTCCTTTTAATTCTTGGTTTTTTTCATAGTGTGAAAGTGATAAAATCAGAATTACAAAGAGCATCTACATAATTGGATCCTAACAAAGTCTTGAAGAGCACAAAATTTTGTTTGTACTTTGCTTACACTAAACTTTTAAAATACCATTTAATTACATGAAAACTAGTGAAAACAGTGGTGCTGATCAAAAACAGAAAATATGGTTGAGTAAAGTAATTTTAAAAACCGAATGTGTCATTTGACGAATTTTTCAAGATCATTATTGGAAAATCCTTTGCATACATAATAAATACATCATTCTATAAGCAAAGATTTCTTGTTTGAATCAAGTCTCCACATCTAAAATTGTAAGTAGAATTCAGCAGCAAAATATTTGAAATAAAAAAAGTGTAATAGTTTAAAAAGAAACAAATACCTTATTTTCATCACTACTTTCATTTAAAGTTTTTCTCAAAAATTATTAGTTTTTTGCATAGTTGGAAATACATGAAATTAGAAAATTTCAATCAAAATCTGCGTTTTAATTTGCGGATAAAAATAACTTGGTGTTTAATACAAAATGACGCCTGAATGTGAGTAAGCTTTTTCAAAGATTTAATAATTAAATTAATATATTTTGGTTTTCAAATTAAATTAAATTATTCAGTATTTCTATAGTCTTAATATAAGAGCTTTATTTCAAAGAACTGGGCGCAGATGGTAGATGAAATTATTATTTGTTATTCTAAATGCACTGCAATGCATTTAATTCGTTAAAGGTATTGCAGAAAAGATTGAGTTTAGCAAATATGATCACATAAAGTAGCATCGAAATTGCATATAAAGCTTTACTATTGTTCCCTACTAATTCATTCTATATTCGTTCTCAAGGAAGCATCTGCTTCTTGGTTCTTCATTGCTTCTAATTACACAGCGTAATTCAGGTTTTCTCAACTATATTTATTTAAAATTTTCCACAAAAATTACACTTACTAAATACTAATTTTAAATAGATGACCTTTAATAATCAGATTTGAACTCGGATTCAATTTCTAGCTAAAAATTAGTCAACTCATTATTTTTTACTCAACGCTCTAAAATGATTTTAGACTTGAAATTTAGAAAGACAAATTTCTGTTTAAGTCTTGAAATTTTATTTTTCCATTTTAAATAAAATCTTTTGTCAAAAATTCCAGAAAGAAAAAAGAAAAAATCTTCTCAGTTATCTGATAATATTGAATGTTAGTTTTGACTTTGAATTCATGGTTCTACAAAATACTTACTGGAAAAATTGTAAAATTCCGGTGGAAAAACTGAAAAAATATTGACATTAGAAATAAGTTGTTTTAGACTAAATTTAAAAGCAAAACAGTTATTTTTGGATATCACTTGAAATAGGTGTCACCTTATTGGAAATCTTTTTTCCATTAATCATAAACAATTACAAAAACATATCTCATTTGGACATGCACTTTTTGATAAACACTGTTTTTACGATTTGGATATCCTTGTTCTCTTGTCTATCTTAACTCGAGTACTCTTCAAGTTTATCATTAAAAGCGATGTTAAAGATTTTGATGAATAGGGAATGAAACGGTGAAAATAGAAGCAAAAAGTGTTTTGCAAAAAGATTTTTTTTCACAAGAATATGGCAGAAGACAGAAAAGATATATAATGATGATACTAGTATGTGATATCAAGATGATAACGTAGAAGAAGGCCACAGCTTGGCACACATTGTCTGACATGAACCTTTGCTTTAAAATCTAACATCAACTTAGTGTAAACCGGAAGGAAATCAGCAGTGAACTAAACATTTGTTCTAACTCTCATCATTTGAAGCTCAATATTTGTATTCAGCTCAAATACCTTCAAAACTTAGAGGAACACATGAAATAATCATTTCACAGTTTTTTTTAAATTAAACAATTGATGAATTCCAGTTGACAATTCTTTCTGTATTGAGTTTTATGCAGCAATTTAATTTCAAAATCTGAATCCAAGTTTCAGTAGTGGGATTCAAAGTTCTTTGCAGAATTTTATTGATGTATTTGCAAGCACTGAATACTGGTAATGTAAAGAAAATATTTATTTTTGTATGCTTTCATTACAGTAAATAAATAAAATACTAAATATCCTCAGTACTCGGAGGATATTCAGTTTTTTTTATCATAATGAAACAATTTCTGAAGATTTTTGTATGAAGATTTTCACAGTTTAAATTAGGTGAAACTTATAGCATCAATATTTAACGGTATTACTACAACTGCTTCTCTGGGCAGCAAACAAATGAGTTGATTAGTTGCACTTGATGTTGAAGTCACAAGTATTTTTCATCAGTGATAAGATAGGTCAATTTATAAATAATGTTTAGTTTCATTTAAGAGTTCACTGTTAAGTTAAATTCTATCTTTTCGTAAGTTATAAGCTTGCTAAAGAAAGCTATTTATCTGCATTATTCAAATTTTATTCATCTTTTCTTATTACATAATAAAATATTGAAAAATGCTACTGTGAATGCCTAATAATTTCAGGCATTCTCATTCTATAGTAGGTAATTACATTCAAGATTTTAAATTTCAGTATGGGAATATATTCAAATAGATAATTTGAATGAATAAAGGACTCACATATCTCTTGCAAGTTAAAATTTAGATTGCATTAGTGTCATAGAGTAAATTTCAGTAATATAAGCATCTGATAAAAGCTGCATGTTTTCTGAAATTTTATATAAAGTTCATAATTTAAATAAAATTATTCACACTATATATATGCTATAAAACAAATTATTGCTGCAGATACTATTCAAAAAGCATAGTTTTCTATAGCGTTCATGTTAATGTTGGATGATTTAAAAACGTGAACCGAATCAAAATGCCTTGAAAGTGCTTTGTGCTCTAAATCTCTTGATCATTCTAACAAATCACAAATAGTTTTATATATAATAGTGTTAAAATTAGTAAACCTTAGTTTTCAGAACTTCAGTCGTCCTGATAACAATGCTCAAGATATATTGTTATTCATTTGTTACTTCTTTTAATGTCAGCTAAAGTAAGCATATTTACTCGATCAGTATGGTTAAGTTACCTCAAAAGAAATAGAGATTTACGCTCCAAATTCAATATTATTACATTCAATCACAGAATTAAAACACTTTGTAGTCTATCAAAAAATCTTGAAAAAGTTATTTTTGATTTGCAATAAAAACAGCTGTGAAACTGATTTAGCTAAAGAAGAGCAAGGAAGTCTTTTTTACGTTCTCAAACTTACATTAGAAAGATTTCTCAGTTAATTTTTGGGTTTGAAACTGCAACTAAGGTAACTTATTATTTAATTAACTTATTCTCAGAAAAGTAAAAGATTTACAACTACAAGAATACTGAAATTTTTTATGGCATTGATAATACGAAGCAGGCAGTGAATATTTAAGCAAATCAATAAATTAGTTTTGAACTCTTAGCCCTTACAGGAAATAGAAACACGCTATCTTCTGTAAAGAAATTTAAGAATTCATAATTAATGGCTAAGAATTTGCGTAACTTCGTACTGATCAGTCGTCTGCACCGAATATTAGAAAACTCTTGCTAAGTTTTCGACTAAATAAAAAATTCCGAATAACTAATATGAAATGCATAATATTAATATCCAATAATTACTGCATTTTCAGACATTTTTTCTCATATTAAAATGATAATTATGAGTTACATAAAATTCGCTCAGAAACGTCTAGTTTTCTTAAACTTTTTAATTGATTCATTAAAGTCAAAGTAATTCGGGAAGATTTTTTTATTTCGAAAATTAAAAATTTCTAGCTTTATTAATTTTTTAATATAAATGCATCATTTATTATTTATGCCAAAAGGGTCACTTCTATTTCCACCCCACATGATTTCATTTCCAGTCTCATGTGTCAAGTTTTTAAGGGTAATTCAAGAATGGTCAAGATAAGTATGAGGCATCTGTCATTTACAGTACTTATTTTACTATTTACTAAATGCACTGCATGGTCAAATAATGTAAGTTTTCGCATTTGTTTCAAGTATAGTAAAAATTTTCACAAGTCGTGTCTAAATCATTATTTTTAAAAATATCATATTCCTTTTTCTAAAGCTAAAACACAATTTTAAATATTAGTACTAAATTTCGTATGTCATTCTTAAGATCCATCAAAAAGCGAGCAGTTTACCTACTAAGTTATTGGACAAAGTATATCGAACAATCCTGCTTAAATCGAAACGTAGTCGTGAGTTTTTTTGTCGGGAGAGCAAATGAATAAAATGGAAGAACTGACCAAATTCTTTAATATCGACCATTTGTGCATCAATTTTTGCATTTTTGAAGATAATATTCTGCAAGCAGTAATGACGCATAGTTTAATTGCAGCAAGTATGGGTCTGTCTCTAGCAGAATACATGGCAAGTCCACAAAGTCAAGACAACTTTCATTTCATACCAACCATTCGTCGTTGACTTCAGTAATATCCTAACTGATTCTCTGCGCTTTCCAAACACTACTCGCATTATCATAACACTTCTTTTTGAAAGCTTATTTGAAATATTTCAGTTAATATTACTGTTTGGTGATGCTGTTGGCTTACTTTAAAAGAACTACAAACTTCAACACTCATCAAATAAACCAGACTTTTTTTAATGAAGTATTATTGCTTATTCTTTGCATTCCTTTTCCAATTTATCGTAATTTCAGTGTGTTTAACTAACATGTCAAATTGATAATGAAAGTGATTTTTTCATCATTGCTAAATCATTATTTTCAGCAGTTTTTCATTTCTCTTTTAATGTCATTGTGAGGTGTGTTTTAAACATAAAGTGTCTATACATTAAAATATAAATTATCATTCCTTACATCCCTTCATGCCAACAATTAAGATCATCTAAAACAGTTGTGAAAATTCAGAGAAAACAAATAATGAAATATTCAGTCTAGGTAACCAGTTATGCAAATTAAGGTTTGATTTGAATGTTTAGTCTGGAAAATGTCCAAAGTTGAAAGAAAAACGCCATCGCAGTTATCATTTTCAAGTTTTGCATTTCATTTCTTGTTGTCACCAGAATAAATATAAATGATTAGAATACAATTGAAGAACTAAAAAACAAAATGAATCGCCTGAAAAAAAATGAATGAAATATTCAAATTAAGTCACGATCGTTTTTGTTTTATGAAATTTCTTTTGTTTTAAGACTTAACTGAAACTTTTTGTAATTTATTTTTCGAATGGGGAAAGTAACATCACTGGTGGTAAAATAACTGTAGCAGAAAGTAAAAACTTTGCAGCCGTTGGTCTCTCGCCAGAACAAATATACACGTTTTTTTCATAAGGAATAATGTAGAACTTCAGTATGAAATAAAAACCAAAGATAGCGTTACAATGACTGCATGATTTTTAACAGTGTTTAAAAGCTTAATTTCTATATGTCAAATACCATGTATACAGTTTGGAATGTAGTGTAGTTTGAAGCTTGCTTAAATAATGTTATCGTAATCACTGCACTATGTCACAAGCAAACTTGGTTAATTAAATGCCAAGATTGTCCTTCAATAAATTTAACACCCAAAATATCATAAGTTTCTAGCAATCGAATCAATACATTTTCACGTTTATCATTTCGCAGAGGTCCTTTCTGAATGAATGCTTTTTCAGTGCTGCACAACAAAGATAAGTTAAAGTTAAGGGGAGTTCAAATCAACAACAAAATTGCATTAATACACATTGTCAATTGAAAAAAATTTTCTTTTAGTCTAAAGCCTTGAAATTTGTAAAATTTTAAGTCAAGTATTACTAATCATTGGGAACAAATCCAATATTTATCACTATAACTTTTAATCTTTTAAGACTTTTATTACAAAAGGAACAGTGATTCATGTGAACACATTTTTTTTCCAATTCTATTCATAAAATCTCTTGTGGCAATGTGAAAATAAGTTTATAAATTTAAAAATCAGCAAGGCTTCTGTGACAAAAATATAGATTTTTGCTTCAAATTGCAAACCTTTCATTACTAGCTTATGATAAAATTTATTTTGAAATATAAAACCTATCACAATCTTTTAAGCAATACATTTTAAGTAGAGAGCTTAAAAGTATTACCAGATAAGCATCTAATTTGTAGTTTTCACTTCCATGGAATAATAGTTTGAAATTTAAAATTTACTTTTTTAAATCTACTTTCAAGACAGAAATGTACATGAGACAGTGTGACGATTTTTTTAAACATGAATTAGGACCTCCTTATTTGAAAAATTTACTAGGCAGCAAAACAATAAATGTATGTCAAAAATAAAGTAAAAAAAGGCAGTAAAACAATAGTAAAAAATTATCAATAGAAGGCAAAAATATAATCGCCCAAATATAATCAAGAAAAGTTTAATTTTTCATTCTCCATAATTGCTTGATAAGCTGATTATTTAAGGCACTCATTTAAAAAAAACCTGTAACCAGGCCTAGTTTAGGATTTTCACTCTTTCGTTTGACTGCTATAATTTATTTTCATGCTTTAAATTGCAAATTCTCCAGCTATTTCAATCTTTTTCACACAAGCAAAATTAATTGCAAACTAATATGGAATTTATTAATTAATTATGTAATTCAATCTTGAAAGCAAATTGAATATTTTTGATACTTACTTTTAAGTGATTTTTGCATTTTAAGGGCAAATATTTATAAAAGTTGTCAAATGATGACATTCAATAAGTAGTGCTAAAGCTTCAATATATCCTCTTGCTATTTTCAAAAATTTTCGTTAATAATAAAAATCATGTCTATTAAAAAATTTAAAGAAAATCGTTTACTCCGGAATTCAATTTTGCAAAGATAGTAGTGAACAAATATGTCCTTTTAATTATTGTTGAATATATGTAACAAGGAAAAATTGTAGATACTGTTGATGAATCTGAAAATTTAAATCTGTTGATACGATTTATACATGTATTTTTATTTTTTGAAGCAGAGTTTTCAGTCATTCTGAATTTATTCAAATCCCAGCAAGTTCGCTCTTTTGTCAACATTGCATTATCTGTTCACCACTATCTTTGCAAAATTTGCAAAGCATTCGTATTTGGTTTTATCCATTTATCTACTACAATTTTAATTCGTTTTCAATCAGGATCAGTTTTACAAACATAATTTTTATCATTAAACAAGAATACACATCTACTACATTAATTATTGTGCGGTCACTCTTTCGTAGTTGCCCAATTATCAATGAATTATCCTCAATATACACACTTCTTAAGACTATTGAACACAATCATTTGAGTAAATTTATAAAGACTGACTCTCTTGTTTTAAATTTGCATGAAAACGATTAGAAAAATGGAGGAAGTGGATTTTTTTTCAAATGCCATTGACTGAATGATTTTGTTTTAAATACAGCCTGTAATTTTCAAGTGATCTTGAAGAGTATATTTTTGAATTTTTGTTTAGGCATGCAAAATTCAATGAATATACATCTTGATCGCTTTAAATAATGTGAAACGATGAAAAATAATACTAAGAACATAGACTGGAGCTTACGTATCATGTATCCAAAAATTTATTTTGATGAAATGTGCCAAATGGTACTTGTAAGACATGTGTTAGCATAATTTTCTTCAGTAGAACTATTTTGTTCAGTACTTTAGAAAATAGTAATCTTAATAAATAGTAATCTGCCTTAGCAATAAAAATTTATAACATTGAGTTATGGCTGTATCATGAAACCAATTGTTTTGTACTTCAATAAAACTTACATGTTATATACAGTATTTGTGTTGAAAAAATATAACTAAGAATAAGGTTCTTTCGATTAATAAAGCTGTAAAATTTGAAGCAAAGATTTTAGATTTGATTGGTCACTTAAAATCTCGATACACAGCACCATGCAGCTTATTTTGATGATCCAATATAATTTTAACATTTAAATTCAAAAACTATATCAAAGAGCGATGATAATGATAATCTCTAATATTTTTTTTTGCCAGCTTAAAGGGCAAGAATCCATACGACACACATATTTGTAGTAAGTAATGCAGATTTTCGAAGATTTCTACTAAAAAACAAAATTTTTCAATGTGAAAGAAAAAAGAACCTGGGATTAATATAAACGTGGGATTTGAAAGGTGTACGAATTTACATATTTAATTCTCATACATCTTAGTAAATCATTTAAATCACTGTAATCAGCGCTTTGAGTGCGAAATGGAATATTTATTAAAAACGGAAAAAGTAAGTGACTAAAAAGCAGCGTAATAAGAAATTGTGCGCTCCTGTTCCTGACGCACTCTTTTTTTGTAGATGAGATTGATGCTGAACACTAATTTTAGTTTCAAAACTGTTAATTGTATTTGATGGCACGAATGATGATGTCGTCAGTGCATTATTGATGATAGCTCCAGAAATAAGCAATTAGCTAGTACTGACACTTATGATAGAGCAGAAGGCAGAATCAAGCTAAATGCTAAGGAATATGTTGTTAAAAACTTTCGCAAGCAAATAATGCTCACTGCCATCGAACTCTGAAGTTCTATTTATTTCAAAATAGTGACACTTGCAATATCAATTTTTTCATCGGTGTGACATTATGATTGCATTTCAGTTAATCAATCTTACCATGTTTTACAACTATACTCATCATTTCGGTTTTATGCTAATTACTGCAATGGTGCAACTACAGTAAACCATGATTTAACAAGTCTGGCACATTCTGTGTTTTTAATAGCCAAACCAATTGATTCATTTGATACAAATTGAATCAAATTGTATATCTTATGTTTTTTGCAATTTAATTTTAGTCTGATGACAATATCTGGTCAAGAAAGAAATATTTCCACGATACTTCAATTGCTTTCCAGTTTGCTACATACAGCGCGAAACTGTGAAGTCTGAACATCTTTAGTGGTCTTCTGAAAACAATCTTCGTAATTATATTTTTTCACACATGAATAGCTGTTGTTGCACTATAAAAACACGAATCTGAAAATATTATTATTATTATTAATATTTTTAGAATTATCAATAATAATATTTTTGCAATAATAGTAATAATAATAATAAAATTAATAATAATAATAACAATAATAATAATAAATAATAATAATAAATAATAATAATAAAGAGTCCATAAGTTTTAAGAGAGTCTGTGATAACTAAAAATTTTGGCGTTTTTCTACTTTCTCAGAATATTAACCAGCATTATTAATATTTCTTACATCAGGACCACGAAAAACTTGATACCGTTTCAATAAACTTGCTTTATGTTCAAAACTACCAAAAAATTACAGCTTTTGTTAATGCTTTGCAAAAGACAAAAAGTGGCTACTACAGTAGCAGCTGCTTGCTGCTTTTGCTTTTGTTACCTTTGTTGTTTCTGCTCTTGTTACAAAACTTTTTATATATACGTTACTAATAATCATATTAATAATGATAAATACAGTAATGACGGTAATGCTAAGATAAAGACAGTAATAAGGTAATGCTAAGGTAAGTGCGAGGATGATTGCTTTCTGGGCAACAGATAATGCTAATTTCATCAGGTAATTTTCTGCGTATAAACGGTTGTGATAACAGTGATGATCGCGATTGGTTGTTAAATAAATTTTACTGCAAGGAAATCATACTCAGATAAATATTGATTGTTTTCCAAAGTGGAAAATAATGATATTATATAAGGCTTCAAAAACTGATCATGAGTGAGACAATGCTAGAAGCCATGTACAAGGAACTGAAACAATAGCATCATTTTACTCCTCTTCCTCTTCTTCTTCTTCTTCCTCTTCCTCCTCTTCTTCTTCTTCGACTTCTTCATCTTAATTTCCAATTATCATTTTATTAGTAAATCGAGATACTTGTGAAAGTCAAAAATCTTATTTTCGTTCTGACCGCATATTTTAAATGGAAAACTTCATATTAATCGAAATAGCAACAAAATTCTATTCTCGGAGCAATATTTAATCATAATATGTCTATTATTAGCAGTTCATTTTCTGAAAATAGATGAATATACCTCCCTCTTCTTCACCTTCATCTTCAGCAATATCTTCTTCAGGTGGTGCAGCTTCTTCTATCGGTGCTTCGTGTTTTTTCTCTTCAGTCTCAGCACCTCCCTTATCACCACCTTTCTTGGACCAATCAGGCTTGTCAGTCTTTTTCGCCATCTGCTGCAACAGCAAGTAAATATATGAAAATGCTGTCATTCCAAGTAAATCTTTCTGAATTCCCCATAAAAGAAAGTGCAGGCAAAGAGAACCTTGTTAACAATGTCATCTATAACATTATCTTTTTTGACTACTTTCAAGTTTGCTCGGAAGTCCTGCTTATCTTCTTTCTTCTGTCCAGCCATCTTTTTAAATCTGTAACACTGTATTTAGTATACAATAATGCATTTCTAAATTATGTATGTAAGGGTGTATCTATCTATCTATTCGATCCAGTGAAATCAACTCAAGTGAACTGCCAGGAGATACCTAACGCATTGTTTTTTGTGAAATTAAACTACAGAATATGGCACTAATTGACTTTTTTGTGACCTTACTTGTTATCGTATTTAGATACTTTCTTCAAGGTCGGTTTCACAAATTTGCCTCGTAGATCGTTCACAGCAATCGTAAGCTCGTTAATCTAAAAGGTCATTGCATAAAACTGTTGCATCAGCATTATGAATTTTATCAATAATTCAAGATATTTATGAATAATTCCTCATACTTCCGCATCTTTAGCCATAACTGCTTGATTAATATCATATTTTTCTGCTTCCAATTTTACCATGTGCTCGAACAACTCATTGTATATCGCTTCCAATTTACCTTCAATATTCCACTGCCACTAATTTTTTAATAAAACTTTGCTCAGATTACTAGTAACAAATGACTTCTACTATGCACACAGATTTAGAGCTGTCGCAATAAAAAACCTTACACGTTCATTACAGATTGCTTGTAATATTTTTGCATTATGTTGAAAGAAATAAGTAATGAAAGTGCTCGCCATAGAATGTAACGAATTTGAAAGTTACCGTGTTCATCAATATTATCGACATCAGGTAATGGTATTGTACGTTGCGACAGCACTTTCTGTCTTTCTTGTTCTTTCAGTAACTGCTGTTGTTTCAGATCTTCTGCTGCTTTCATCATAAGCAGTTTCTAGAATTAGGATAGCTGCTTTGTCACTGGATATCGTTGAAATCATTAACATTTTGGTGATGCTAAACTCGGTAGTACTTTTTGCAATGCGTACATTAATTCTCAATTCTTTAGTCGACTTTGAACTTTGCTTGACTAAGATTTTGCTGCTTACTACTGATAATGAAAAATTGTTTGTAAAACTAACCCGAAGTTTTTTCTTTCTTTCTGGAGTTAAAAAACCTTTTTTAGCTTTTTTCTTACCAGCTTCTTCTAGCCGTTTACGTACTTCGGCTTTTTTCTTTTCTCTTTCCTCAGCTTTACGTTTAGCTTCCTGTAAATAGGTCAGTAAATTAGAAACTTATAAAATGATTGCTATCTACTCAGTGTGTCCGTATTGTTATATCACAAGTGATAGCAACACATACATAAAATGCTTAATTTAGTGATTTGAGAAAAAGTTTATTTTCAAAAGAAGCATTTAGATTCATTCATTTTTTGTCAAATATATAACCAATCTAAACGCTACAAGAAATTTTGAAAATATCGTGAATTTTATAAACTAGCCGAGTCAGCAGAATCATCATCCTCAACGAGAGGACCTCCATACCGTCGGAGAATCTCACGTTCAGGTACTTCAAAACTCCCTTCATCACTCATTTCCATGCTGCAATTATTTTTTTTAGCGCTTTTGTAAAATTTTTTTCATTGGTGATGAGAATGAATATCACATCCCGAAGCTGAGAAGAAAATAAAGTATTATTTTGAAAGCACAAATCATTCGAATTTTTATGTCTTCATATTCATCACAAACGAAAATCAACAAGATTTATATTACTCTGCAATTTACTTTATCTGATTCATCATAATTTGAGAAAACAGTTTGAAAATTAAGGGAAATTCTATTAAAATAATAGAAACATGATTAGAATTTAATTTTTTGAATGGTAACTTCCACACCAAAATGACTACATCAATCAGGTCTTATCGTAACTAAAGACTTTTGCGGTAATTAAAGCAAAAAGTTTGATTAAGGAGTTTAAACTGAGAAACCAAAAGCCGACCATTTTTTGCTGATTTTTGAATTTAAATCAAACAAGAGTAGCAGTATATATTGTAAATTTTTGATGTATACTATCTACTTTGGAAAACCGTAAGTTTTAAAATTACAACTTCTTATAATTTAAAATTTGCACAAGTATTACAAAGCTCTAGTTACTATATATGAAATTATAAAGTTCAACGAAAGTTAAAAATAATTGAAAATTTTCAAGAAAGTTGATTGCAGTGACAATTATCTAGCGAAATACAAGTTATCAAAAATCAGCACTCTCAGTACCTGAGAAAGTTATTTTGAAAGTTCTGCAAAAGTGAAAACAAAACAAATGGGAAACAAAACAACTGACGCTTTGAATGACATACAATCGCTTCAAATTCAGCTTTTAACGGTGATTAATGGTTTTTTGCAAACCTCTTGCTACTGTGTGATGTACTAGCCTTTTTCAATTTGCAGAATTCACACAACAAACTTTGCTTTTTTTTTATTAAACTCATGTCTCATGAATTTCAAATGGCAAAAATTTGTGCTAGGGGCATTAAACGCCCTAAGTGGATATCCATTTCAAATTCACTTTTCAGTTACTGTATTCCACAAGAAATGTAATACATTTTACTAACTGATTATAGTCATTGTAAATTGTGTTTATTTATTATTTTTAATCATTTGTATTATTTTAACTTCAAGTGAACAAAAAACAAACATACAAGCATTATATGACCGGGCTAATGAAAACATGAAATAATGTACTTTTAATTTTAATTGCACCTAAAATGCTAGAGAACGAATTACGAGAAGCTCCGGATTTTTTGGTAGAATAGACTCATCGCAAGTAGCAAACTATAAATAGGGATCGCACTTTTACATTCATCAAGAAGACTTGAAATATAATAACATGAATTATTTATCAGAAACAGTGAACTCTGGTCTACAAATATAAAAACTTATAAATTTCAGCTAATAAGTGGTTTCAAATTAATCAATAGTTTTATAGCAAAACAAATAAATGAAGGAATTTGGTAACAGACAACCGTTTATTCAAAAATTTCAGCTAAGAATGAGAAATAATTATGTCATCAGTACAAATATTGAAATAATAATCATCCTCCACGAGACAAAGATTAATAAACATAAGTGCCAAAAAACTGAAGACGCTCTGAAGAGTAGATTACAGCAAAATTTATTTTTTTTCAAGCAAAATTTGCAAGCTGCTTTGATCACACTAAACCATTTTTGATTGGCAAATAAGTTGATTTTATAAGCCCAAATTTTGCCAGTCTATTTTGCAGTCATCAATAGAACAAAATTAAGAAGACTGTAGGAAATTTTGATATTTCAACTTACAGACAAAATGTAGAAATACGAAGAGAAACCCACAAAAAGATGTTACCTTGGACTATTCATGCTGAATCACCTATGAATGAAATTAAAACTAGTATAGATTCTACTACGCAAAGCCTTGGTTGTGTGACTAAAAGCAGAAATGAGGTAGCTGGCAGTTTCAAGAAAGCTTTATGATCATCAAGAGTTGAACGATGGATATTCCAGCAAATGGCTTCTCGCACAGCTCCACCTTCTGGGATTGCTGCTTCAGTTCTCCAAGTTTTCCTCTTCTCTCGGTAACTGTGGCTTTTTATTCTTCTGATGTTCTCACAAACAGTATAACATATCAGTGTCAGACAAATAATTTCATAGTTGAAAGTTTGTGATGAAAGCCCTGAAGGCAGTTCTTTTCGACTAGCTTATACAACTTTCTCACTCTTCATACTCGCAGTTTAGTACTGCTTCCTGAACCTCTATCATATTACAACAGCAATAACAGCTGCGAGTTATTCTCCATACGCTTTTCATTTCTCAAAGTTTGTGCTCGACAACCTACGCACTTTGCATTTCTAAATTTTATGATCACTTACTTTACTTATACATATATACCTTATTGCAGAAAAGCTGATTACACGTAATCATTTCGCTAGAATGACAGCTTTCTTACAAAAAAGTTTGAATTAGCAACTCTATTTCCTTTCCACTATCTTTCAAGTAAAACAAATATAAAAATGTTTCTTGACAGATATGACGAAAGAGAGAACACAAAGATTTTTATGTCATACATTTAATCGAAGCTAATGCTATAATTATATAAATATATTTTATTATATATATATAATAAAATGTGGAGATTAATTTTACTTTTCGTTTTATTGGTTTTGCCAGTGGATCGCATTCCGACATTCTGGTAATATTTTGTCTCGCGCTCAGATCTGTTGTACTCATCGTTCATCGTTCTCGCTTCGTCCTCGTGAAATCCATATCAACTGCCGAAGCAGATGCTTTCGAGCATTCTTTTGAGAACTATCGATTGAATGTGTGCCTCGACGTGGTCAAATATACTAATCTCCTTCACACAGCGTTTGTGGAAGTTCCTTACAATCCCATCCCAAATCATGACATACGGAATTATTTCGGTCCTGAATTTCATCTCTGACCCAAGCTTATTAGCAAGTAAATCATATCTTCTCTTTTTCTCGGACTTGACTGCTGTTAACCTGTCCTGACTAGCGATGCCAACCTCAAGCAGGGATACTTCACGTCACTTCTTATTGTGTATATGCGTAGATCCGCTTTTATTCTGATTGCAGTTTCCACTCACCTTATCGACTCTGATCTCAACGTTCTCATCCACGACGACCTCCCGAACAGAATGGCTTCGCAAGCGCGGGAATGCTTTCACACCATACTTCTTCCATAGTCCCAAGTAGATGCATCGTAGGACCTAGTATAATCGCGATGTAACATTTGTTCGCACTGCGTTGCCAGATGG